TTACGTTTATAAGAAAGGGAATGAGGTTAGCCTAGAGTTGTAAAGGGAATGAGGTTAGCCTAGAGTTGTAGGACTGTTCCACTAAAGGGAAAAATGGAATCAATAGGAAGACGTGCATTCCATTGCTTTATGAGTATTTTTGCCTTATTTTAGATGGAAATCCAATTACTTATTTATATCCTACTCGTCAAAGTACAATACAATTTTGTAATATTTTCAAAACTAGGAGCCTAGACTCAATCTTTCATTCTTTTCTAAACTCAATTTTTCCAATCTTTCTGTTAGAACCAATGGTTTAAAAAACAGATCGGTGACTCGGATCGGGTTTCTAAAAAACCGATCCGGATCGACGAATCGGCGATTCGGATAAAAAATCGGGTGAATCGGTCAGAGTAAAGCTTAAAAAAAATCCGAAAAAATTATTAAAATTCATTATAAATATTATTTTTTAGAAATTCAATAAGAAATGAGGGTACTCCATTAAGAATTTTCATGTTTTTGAATGAATATGCGAATATTGATATGTTCTTTCCATGCATGAACCGTCATTCAGCATTTAATTTACATCACACAAAAGGATAAACATATAATTATCATGGAATAAGTATATCAACATACATGGACTACAATAAAGCATAAAATTAGTAACATATGATCTAAAAATAAAATAATAGACGACGTTATTGTTCTTCTTGGTCACAATCCATTGATTGAATTCGTTTAACAATTCATTGATTCGATCTAAAAACGAATCATTGATATTAGCAGACGTCTGACTATTCCCAAATCCCTGAGTGTTAGTGTTTTGTTGTGTTTTCAATCTAAAATCCCCGAAGATTGTCCATCCTTCATGCTCACTTGCACTGTCGTGCTCATCCCTACACTGTTGCTGTTGGGACTCGATATGTGAATAATATGGCTGGGATAGGGTGGCCTCAGAATCATCATCTTTCTCATTTTCTCTTTAAATAATATGGATTAAAAAAAAATAACAAATTTTCAAAAAAATCGATCATGGATTAAAAAAAAAAAATCACAAATTTTCAAAAAATTCTGTCATGGATTACAAAAAAAAATTCGATCATGGATTAAAAAAAAAATAACAAATTTTC